CCCGTAGGTGTGCACCTGCCTAACCTGTTTCAAGAAAAAAAATTGTAGATGATAAATTGACATTTAAATGACAATCCATGTACGTCTTAAAATCAAAGCTTACAAAGTTCGGGGTATTCTATCGAAGGTTTACTGATGTTCTGACATGAACATAGGTTTTCTCTGTATTTAGGACATGAAATAATAGCAAAACAAACTTATGACCTCTAAATGCAGACATAATGAGTTAACTTAAAGTATTAGTTTATAAATTCTTATATTTCTGTGACTTCACTAAAGCATCTGCATCCAGTACATACAAGGACTTGGGTATGGGGATACAACCCTTCAGGCCCTTCCAAATACATGGAAAAATTTAGAAAGAAATTGATTATACCCACTTCGAAGACATATTCATATCCGACACTCGCATCTTAGTCCGAGTAACATTGAGTAGTTCAATGGTCACAATCCAAAATAGTTTTAAAATGTTTCGGAAAAAAATCAAGTATATATTAAAGGATAAACACATATAACTGACGAGGTAAAGTTTTGTAGGAACCTTTTTACCTGGTCATAGTGCAAGTAAACGTGATAAAATAGGTACATAAACAAGAGTATCCTAGCAACCTGCCACAAAAGAGGTAATGCATTAACTGTAAAAGTTTTTTAAAAAAACAATGATCAGAGCAGTCCTTTAAATTCTGGGGGAAAAAGGGGACCCTTTGGAGACAAATTTGTCAGATGGCATCCATGCAGGCATTAGCAGTATATGAATAAGACTAAAAGCAATAAAATGATTTCACTTACCAGCCATGTTACAAATATTACGACTCCGTTAATTAAGTAAGCTCTGGATCTCTTCATTCCAACCGTGTCAAGATACCTATATGAACCCAGAATATTGTTATTGTAGAGTGAAAATAATATGCATTTTATGAAGGACAGATAAGAGGGATGAACTAGTACGTAATTTTTTTTTACCATCTCAAGTTGATCCCAGGAGTCGTAGTTTCAGAAATGAGTACCATGAAGGTATAAATCTGACCCTCTCCTGTCAACATAGAATATGCTACACCAGCTACAGAGAGAAAATGATGAATGACCTGAAATAACAACATTTTAAGTTCATTTACATCATATTGAACATCAGTCGTAATCAATTGGGAAGAAGACACGTAGAGCAAGATTATAATAAAAAGAATTAAATACTTACATACTCCATTCCACCTAAAGAAGGGTAAAACCAAATGATCATCCCAATATCAGCAAGAAAGTAACCAACAGATACCTGTCAAAAGGTGGCATCTAGATTAATTTAGTTAGAAGCCAATACAGGTGATAGAACATAACCTAAACTAAAGAAATGTCGTTACAAATTGAAAAGTTTTAGCAAGATTGCCCCCTTTCGTAAATATAACAGTTCTACAATTAATTTCCAACCGTATCAAAACTGCCTTGACATCCAGACTGCATATATTCATCTGTATTAGGAAATAATCTAAACATATTGCAAATTTATCTAGTCCAAAGTTTCCAGGCCAAAGTTTGACCTTCAGTTTGAGAAGCGCGCATAAGTTCAATGTCTAGTTTATTAAAAAATTGTGAAATGGCATTAACATCACTGCATATTTTTGCACCATGATTATGTTACTTGTTTCACACAAACAAGGATTTTGGGTAAAGGACATACTTAGATTTTGTGGGGGGTTAGGAAACCAAATGGCAAAGAGCCCACATTAAAACAAAAGAATTGTACTATTTCTGTCCGCAATAAACGGGGGTTCTATTTCCCAAGAAGAAATCAATAGCAATCTATAGTTATCCTATCAAAGGCAATGCCACCCAAATCATTCGTATTCCATATAATAATATTCTATTCAAGAAGAAAACTTCGCACTTAATTGCTTCTTCTAAACGAAATACATTCCACGTTCTGAAAAACCCTTTTGGAGGGATTATGTACAAAAGTGAATGAAAAATAATTATCCTGAAGATGTTATAAAAGGCAAGGTAGATTGACTTCCTAGTAATATCCAACTAAGTTTTCAGAAGACAGAGAAAAAGGTACCCTCACCCCTAAAGAGAATGTAGACAGTGCAGAACTGCGAAACATAATCAAGCCGGCATATCGGTGATCAGAAAAGAGATTTGACCAAAACACGAAGTATAGGACATGACTGATATGAAAATGGCATGTACCGTTGATATGGATCTGAACAAAACATCCAGACATAAATTCTGTATTGAAATATAGATAACAAAATAATAATAACATATTCAAGCTAAGTAGAAATATCAGTCACCGATTGTTCCACTCAGTGCGTTGGACTTTTGATAGCATAAGATAGCTCTTAAAGTAAACACTGCTAAACAACTGCGTAAGATCATAGACCTGAAAAAGAGTAATGGTCAGAAATTATTAGAAAAAGAAGGGAAAGCTAGTTTTAGAGATATCCAAGAAGAAAAAATTGGCTTAAACAGAGAAATTATAGAAGCAACAGTAAAAACTGAGAAGAAACAAAAGCTCGACACAAAGGAATCATCATTTAGATTTTTTTTTCTTTTGAAGAAAAAAAACACTACATGAAGCTGCAAATTTAGCTGAACTGAGTTATTTTCAAACTGAATAATGAATCATAAAATTGAGCAGGAAACATACCATCTTGCAAGCACAAATGCCACAAATAACTGATGTGTATGGGATGAAGGGATCTGACAGTAAATATTCCTTTAGCAGCAGCTCAGCCTGATTCTGGTATGCTTGTATCACCATAGTTGCTACTTTAGAAACCAGTATCACATTACATTCCTCAACCAATCAGTCTACGAAGATAAATTTTCCATTGCTTCCTTGGTTTTGTATTCTTCTCGCTCTTCACAATGAATACTATGTAAAATAATTTGAAGGAAAGAACAGGCATGAGAAAAAAGATTAAAAGGAAATGAAAAGTTCTATGTCCTGACTATAGCTGCTGCAATTTTGAAATATAGTGTAACACTTGGGTTCCCTTCTGCGCAAGGAAAACAGTATGAACCACTGTTCATCATACACGAGAAGCAATGAGAAAATCATATTACTAAGACTTCTGTTTTTTTTTGGTACAGATCATCTAAAAGGCGAAGAGATAGGGGTAAGTATTAATTGCTATGACACAAAAATGTACTTGAACGGGAGGTAGAAGTTTTGGGTCTAATTCATGATAGCCATATCCACAAAGATGTACTACTCATAAAACCAGATTAGCATATAACGTTAGGGCTCAATTTCAGTAAAAGCATATACAATGCATTTCAATCTTGAACATATGTCGAAAACTAAGCAACAATTAAGTCCTTAAAATCCAAAACACTAGCCTAAAGCAGTGTCATTCAACAGATTTGGGGTTCCAAACCCAGAATCTTCAACTCCTTTCCCTATTCCTAGGTTGTGATTTCCTTTGTACCAAAAGATAAAAAAATGCCAACACATCAAAGTAAGATAACACAATACAATTAAGTCACTTCAGTAGAAATAAATGTTCCGTCGACATCAAAGGGGGTCCGGTTTGATATTAACCTGATAAATGAATTGCCAATAAACAGCATATCTTAAGGCAAGAAGTTTAAGCTAAATGATATACAAGATAACATAAAAAAAAATTAGGATTCCTTTCCCCTTTGAGAGGGGAAAAAATTCCACCTCTGATTCTACCGTATGTCTGGGGCAAATATTAATAATAACAATATGATGCAAATGATTAAGAAATGTTAATTACTCCACTAGGCATCTTTAAACTGATCTCCATTTTTAGTTTTTTATCCTTAACCTAATGCATTCATTTAAGCTATTAAAAGAAACAATGAAACTAAAACTTAAAATACCACTGATTTATTGGAAAAAGGAGAGGAAAAATCTAGTCTGCATAAACATAAATTCAGAAAAATCAAGAACAAATTACTAACTCAAATTAACATCATAACACAATAAGCAAACATCAAAAAGGAAAATTCCGAACCAAAATTCCAAAACGATTACAAAATAAAAGTAAAACACACACAAAATATCCGAATAGAAAAAAATATATATGTGAAGGAAAATAGAGTTACCGGAACCGGAGAAAATGAAATGATCGGAACAAAATCGCGGAGGAAATCAGGGATTTGGTTCTTTGAAAAGAGAAGCTGCTGGATTCCTGCTTAATTTTTGTTTTCTTCTTCTTCTTCTGGCTATTCAACTACGCGTAGTTTGTGGAGATGAAGAGAGAACAATAATGAAAGGAAAGAACCACTCAAAAGTCGAAAAATGAATTTTTAATAAGAATAATGACTAATGCTCCATATGCCCCCTAACGTTTGTTTTTTTCCAATTTGGTACTTAAATTTTTTTCTGATCAATATCCATTTTATCTCAAAAAATAAGGATCATTTAAAAAAATTGAGTCAATCGCAGTGTATCATGTCAGTTTCTACCTATTTTTTATTATTGATAATATTATTTTACTTATTTTTTAATATTAAATAAAATATTTTAAAAAAACTATTTTTTTATGATTCATACTTAGAGTTTATTAATGTCTCTTTTAATAATATCATCCCTAAAGTTTAAATTTAAATCTTTCTTTAAAAATGTAACGTAATAATTGATGTTCGTAGACTTAAGTTAAATTGTACACATGATTAATGCTTTGAATAATAATAAATTTATTAAGCCAATTTTTTATGATTCAACCGTAAATGTTTATCAAATCATTATATTTTAATTGAATTACAAGAAATATTAATATCAAATAAAATTATTATAAAAAATCTTGTACCATCCAACAATATGATACAATTTTATTCAAGGAAGATTATTGAATTCATACAGTATTATATATTTAGAATTATGAGATTTGATATACACTCGTATAATTATCTTATAATTCGTCATCGATTATACTAATTTTTTTATATATTCTATGCGTGACTTTTCCCTTTCAAATTTTTTTCCACCTAAATCAAAATTAAATTTCCCGATAATTTGTATATATATATATATATATATATTTATTTATATTTATATAAAAGAAAAAGAGAATCAAAGGTAAAACGACAAACTTCAAATGAATTTTGAAGTGCCCACAAGTGCTCTTCCATATGCCACCGGAAGTGATGCAAACTTCTTTACTTTCCCTACATAAGCTCTTTTGTTGAAATTGTTGTAATCGTTTTCCTCAATGGCGTCCAATATCTGTCGATACAACAGCAGCGACGCCCACACCGGCCATCTGCTTGCCGAATTCAGCTCCGAAACACCCTTTTCTGCCTCGTCGAAGAACATCCTTGCTCGTTTTATCTGATCTTTCATAAAGTTCCTCCACCTGTCCGTTACTTGTCCGCGGAATACGTCGTCGTCCGATAGCCCGAAACGTGCCAGTTCTTCTTGCGGTAGATATACTCTTCCTCTCCTAGCACTAGGGAAATGCATACAAACTATGAGAAAACACTCTTGAGTTCATCAGAAAGCGAAAACTACGAAATTTCGGTTTCATTGGACTTACTCTTCACCAACATCTCTGAGTATATTTGTAAGCTGATTAGCAATTCCGAGGGCCAATGCAGCGTTGTAGACACTCTCTACCGATGCCTTTGATTCGGGTGCGATTCCCATTACCGGAACACTCATTAGTCCGACCGTCCCAGCAACATAGTAGCAGTAAAGGTAGAGCTCATCGAAGTTCATATATCGGGACTTTTTTAAATCTAATCTCATTCCTTCTATCATGTCCTTGAAGGGCTGAAACAAGGAAAAATCCATGGTTGATTCTCAAAGATCATGCAAAGCATCAAGGTCTTTAACTGTGTATAAGCTGCAGCAAACCTGTATATCTACAGGGTATTTTGAGATGGTATCGGATAAAGCGGCGTCGAGCATATCGTACGGTCGACCTTCGAAAAGATTGTCTAATCGTTTCTCCCATCGATCAAGAGCCCTGGGTGTAATGTGTGAGGCATTAGGCCCATCCACAAGCTCATCGGTCCTCCTACACCAAACTGAATACCAGAAGGCAACAATTTAATATACAAGTCCAACTATAAAACACCCAGCAACGACACTCAAACTCAAACGTTATCATCGGATATGAATTTGTCCCCGGCATGTGTTTTTCATGTACTTCGAGGGTCATATCATTATACAAATGTTCGAAAAGTATCGAGCATGGATACTTCAAGAATAATGAAGAGACAAAGCAAAATAGAACAATGAAACTTTCATCAATGATGTTGACTGCAATTCATTCTCTTTTTAATGCAAAGGAGCCTACAAGCAGAGAATAGGAGCTGTTTCGAAGCTAGGACTTGGACCCTAGGCTTGCTCGAAGCCGCCTGCACCGGATTAAACTGTCGATCCGATGACAATTACTACTTAAGCACCATACTCTATCATCCTAAATATTACAACTAAAGCTTGAAAGACATAGAAGCAACGCAGATGGTATGAATCAGTGAGTTAGCCAACAGATAAAATGACCTAAAATCAATGAGTTCAATGAACAACATTGCAAGACTTACTCAACTTAACCGACCGCCATACATACCGTAAATCGCCCAGACGGCTCTCCGTCGTTCCGGTGTCATAAGTAATGTCCCTGGAAAGAAACAACAGACAGTTCATGAGGCCTCAGAGGTAAGCAAAAGGTTGCAAACGCTATAATTCGATGCGGTTTCCTTGTTCATGGCCTCGACCCGATATTCGATCTACACTTCAAAGGAAGTGTAGCTACATGGTCTTGTGATCCTAAAAAGTTGCAGTTTAAGAACTCTCTAAAGTAATTTGATCAAACAAAGAGGAACCCTCGAACAAAAAGAGATGAAAGATGTGGAGCTTTAAGTACTAATCATCACAATAACACCCCAACTTTTGTGCTTCGTATTAGTTTTCTCACCCTTTTCTCGGGAACCAAACAGGAGTAAAACTAAATTTTATATACATTAAGAAAAGCAAAAAAAGCATGGAATCGCCAAATAAACAAAAACAAGAGTCAAATCGACCCCATGTGTATGAACTTGTAAAAAAACATATAATAATAATATTGTAATCGTCAACTTAACAACAACAAAAAACAAGAAAATCAGAAGCTCGAAAACCAGAAGCAGAAGCAAAAGTACCCAAATAGAAAGTCTTGGCATACTCAGCACAAACTTCACCACAACGATCATAAGCTTCATTCAACAGATCCCAATCAGTAAACCCATCAGTCTTTTCACTTGTTTTCTCCAAATCAAGGGCTTTCTTCCCCCTTTGTTCTTTAACCAAAGCTGCCTGTTTTAAAACCACATCATAAACTCTCTGTTCTGAAGATCTGACTGGGTTAGCCACTGCACCCGAGATAGCTGAAACCCCTCTGAAAGACCTCTTCTTTGGCTTCTTCCCACCTCTGGGTATCAAGCTAAGCAAGGCAGTGGCATTCCCTTTGGGACACACCATCCAAAGAATAACACCAGCCATGGAGTTCAAAAAGTGAATATGAAAAAGAACAAAAAACTATGCTTTTCCTTTGATTTTGAACCAGTTAATGAAGATCAAGATAAGTGAATATGAAAGCAGCGAATGGCGATGAAGATGAAGATGAAACGGGCACCAATTTTCTTTATCTTAATGCTTCCAAAGACACAGGATCTCCCACGTCGTCTTCTTACAAAAGGACGTCTCCTATTCTTATTCTCTTTCTTTTATCTCTCTCACCTGTTTCTGTGGACACCATTTCTTCATTCATTTTCCCATTTCAAGCCACATCTTAGAAGTCACAATTGGGTGTTTTTTCATTTTAAAATCTGTATAGAAATGGAAGGAGCAGATGTATTTCGAAAACTTTAAATTAATATATATTTTTTATATTTTTAATTAATAATTTATTTTCTTTTTTAAAATTTATATAAAATTATGCTCCATCTCTAGCTTAACTCGTATATTTATTTTATTTTTGTTTTATAATTCATATTCATAGGTATATAACTATTTTTCATATCAATTTTAAAGTTCGAATATGAATATAAACTGTGATGTAAGGGTTGTTTATTTATTTCAGAATGATTAAACGTTGAATGATTCAAATACTGAATGATTCATAGGCTCTGTATGAATTAACTCTGAATGTGACATGATGTTTGATAATGGCTCTGAATCATTCAAAATATATTTTTGTGCTTAATTATTCAGCACTGAATCATTTAGAGATACGAAACAAACGCATTTATTGCTGAACGGTTCAGCATTTAACGTTGATCAATTAGATTTGATCAGGGAAGCTTAATCCGAGTAAGAATTTAATAATGTACACCAATTGGTTGGGGGCTGCCATTGCCATAAATGCACCATTGATAATATTGTTTAGTTTCAAATAGTGCATTGCATAATTTAGAGTTGACTCATTTTGTAATAATTCCACTATAGCTTCTAAAAGTGTAGATTGCAAAATGGCCACTAACATTTGTAATTATTATCGGTATAATTTGAATTTAGTCCTTAAGGTTTTATTTTTGTAAATTTGATACTTTTTTTCTTTTTACATGTCTTGAAATAGGGTCTCAATTACACTTTCCACGTTTCAAAATAGGACGAGTCAACATTCACACCCACATTTATGCTCAAACCTGAACCACAAATCAATAAACACAATTATAAATTCAGGGTTGCCACTTTCCACCCAACGTGACACTTTCTTTGTCCTTTTTTTTTCTATTTATTGTTTTATCTCTTTAAATAAAATATATAAATATTTATAGTTTTCAAAAACAGGATGGAAAATGCAACTCATAAAAACCTTAAATTTTGATTCAAACCTTAAATATATGCCATTTTGATATTATATTAATTTTCCATAAATTTTAGGTTTTTCACGTAAATATGTGTATTTCATTTTTTATACGATCACATGAGACGAAGTTAGAATCAAATTTTGAAAAGATCATTTTATCTAAATTCAAAAAACAGAGACTTATTAAGTATTTAATCTTAAATATTGGTTGGAGAAAATCAAATCTTATTTTAATTAAACTGATAGGGACCCAAATTATTATTAGATCAAAAATAATTGGAGGGACAAGTACAACCGCGCCTCCCACTCTCCAAGGATAGACGAGAGTGGGGACCGTTGTCCACATTTTACATATTTTCTTTGTATTTTTTATTAAAAATTTATTTTCACCTTCTCTTTAAATTCACTTCCAACATAAAATCATGTTTATGTCCCTGCCACTCTCCATGTACCTCGTCTATATACTATCATTTATTTTTTTATTATTTTTACATAACACGTAATAAGGAGGAAAAAGATTTCATTTCAATGTAAACGGAGTAAGGATCAGAATGTTATAAGTTGATAATATAAGCGACTATAATGTGATATTTCATGCTTAGATGACAAAAAGGAGAAATTTCTATATAGTTTAGCAGTTAATTGTTTAATTTACCCAAATATATTTGTATGTGTACACACGCACTCAAGACTCACCTATACCATATTAAGAGAAGTGCATGCACACAAAGTTTGAACTTTGAATAAAAGGTCAATGAATTTGAAAATATATTTATGATAATTAATTAAAATATATTGGCATTTAATTAATATTACAATTAAACTATTTACATCATAAATTTAAATTATAACATTGATTAATATTATAAAATAATCCATATTTCATTTATATCTTAAAAATGATTAAATATATTCATATATTTAACTATACAATTAGATTATAATACTTTTTGTTTTGTTGAGAGAGAATTTTCCTCCGAGGTGTCTTTTAACCATGAGAAATTCTCTCTCGATTCTTAAGAGATTTTTGAGATTTTATCACTTGAATTTTAAGAGAATTTAATTGAGAAAAGTACTATGTATAGATTATGTTGTATTCATCGTGACTTATCTTGTGTGTGCGATTTACTCCAATTAATTTAAATAGAGAACTACGAATCAAGTCTCGAGAGATATTTTGCGATCCCCTTCGCAAGCACCACTTTGTTTCCATTTCATCATTTGGTCCTCCAAAAATTTTCAATTTAATCCTTCAAGTTTTCAAATTATGTAAATCAATTGAGATGAACTACATACAATAGCTACGCAAACGAAATAAATCACAATAACTACAATACGATCTACAAATCGTACTTTTACAATCAAAATACAATAAAAAATTTATCGACAAATTTTATTTATTTTTTAAAAAAAATTATTGACAATTTTATATATATATATAATTATGATCTTGTAATATTGCCATGATACAGAAAATGGAGGAGGAATGAATCCGGGGGCTAACTCTAAGTGTTGTCTTTGTCTCCACCAACTTAGTGGTTGCGACTGTGAAATTGCATGCACTGCATCTGCATGTGTCCAAATGTACCACATTCAACGTACCAAAATGATCATATCTATTACCAATCTTATTGGCTTTAATACATATACATGTATGACTTTTAACAAAATACAAAATATAATATATTCAATTGTAACAAAAAATTATACAATAATTTTTTTTATAAATTTGTAACATTTAACGTCAATTTGAGACCGTTTTAAATCTAAATTAAATGTTATTTTGTTCAACCTAAAAAAAAATTGTAATATTTTTTATTGTAACCGAAAAGTTATATTGCTGAAAATGTTATCTTATTCATAACATTCTCAGTTACAACCGAAAATATCACGCTCTTAATAAGATTTTTAGTTATAATCTATTTATGTTCGTAAACTTACTTAAAACTTGTCAGGTAGTGTTTGGCCAAACCCTACGAATACCTTTTGATTTAAAAGATTATGTGGGAGGACGCAACGATTATCATATCCCATCTTTATTTCTTTGTCTAATGAAGGAAATTCCTAGAGATGGCTTCACAACCTAAAATTCTTTGAATCCTCTCAACTAAATCCATAAATAGAATTTTAAAATAAAAAATTATTTATAATCATTTTAATATTCTTTTTATGTTACCTATAATTAAAAGTTTTATTTTATATAATTTACATAATTTTCATTACTAATCCTCTATTTATTTTGAAACTTAGGTTTAAAGTTTACGAAGTTGCATATTTGATGTTCATAACCATTATCTTCTTCTTGTTTAATTCCCCGTTTGTTATAGCATATGTATAAGAATTCATAGTTAAAATAGTAACTCGACACTTATACATATATAGATACCATAAGGGTAAATTATACAAATTATCACTCAACTTTTTTTTTAATACTAAAGTTTAAAACTTTTTAATTTAATAACTGAATTTTATACATTGAATTTTTTTAATCACATTATTATTAATTTACTAACAGATTGACGATATGACATTTTAAATTAAAACTTTTTCCATTTGTTTGATTTTCAACTTTTTTATTTTTATCTGTTTTTTTTACTTTAATTTCTTTTCTTGTGAACTCATCATGGCATTCCATGCTTAGTTATATGCTCTCGAGACTATCAAACTCTCTTCTCGTTTTCCATCATGGCTTTCTTTACCTTGACGTGTGGAAACTCCTTTTTTCATGTGTCTCGTCTCTCACTTTTTGTCACGAACTAGTTCAATCACCCCTCACTAGCTCGAGTGTAAATCTTTACCAATTTAACTATAAAAGCAAATTGACTGAACAGTAAGTAAACTTAACTTATCCGGTTTATCACCTCTACCAAACATGTACGAAACGATCATTGTATCTCCACAACGAATTATTCTGATACCACTTGTCACGCACTCGGAACTTCAACGCCTAAAACGTGCAGCCTTAGTCGCTTTCTTTGTGATCAACCCCTATGCTACAGAGGATGAAAATGTGAATCTGGAGGCAGCAATCTAACAGCTTCTTAGTGTTGAAAAGCATATGCGATTGGCTGGTGATGTGATCACTACCAAGAAAGCCTTCACTGAGATTTTGCAGCTTTACGTTGAAGCTAAATACCTAAAATCTCTCAATGGACAGATCATTAATTTGTGCAGAACCTTGCATTTGTGATCTTCTCTGATCCTTCCCGAAAGCTTCTGAACATTTTTCTTTTATCTTTGAAACCCAATGACTTGGAATCATTCTAAATTGCAATGCTCGCTTCAAATTTGTCCTTCTGGTTTCTCCGACTCTTCCATACAATAATATGATGCAGTTCATTTTGTTGTTTAAATAGAGATTATGGCACTTCAGTGATCATCAAAGACCCTATCTTCTCAAACCTGATTTAATCATTTCATGGCGCCAAGAAAGATAAAGTTGTCGGTGATGCGTAAGAGAGGATATGAAAGTGAAGGTGCAATTCAAACCAGTGAAAGCATCAAAGCAAAGATGGGAAAGAGAAAAGAAAACGGTGAATGCTTGAGAGAGGAGCAAAGGGAAACAAAAGAAAATTTTGGAGAGGTGGAAAGACAATACGATAGACTGAGAGAAGAAACTGAAATAATCATGAGACAAGCATGCAACACTCAAATGAAGATAGCTTTCTTGAAAGCTCGAGAAGGTGGAGACTTGATTGAAGCCGATGAGCTCACTAAGTTTCTTCGGTTCGTTTCTCCAAGCCCACTTCTCTCTATAAACTACTATATAAATATTCCGATGTAAACGTGGTTAATTAAAAACAGTAACCTTGT